ATGGGTACAATTTCTAATTTCATGTAATCTTAACAGCATACATTTCTCTCACCTCAATAACACATTTTACTTGAGTATACTTTGATTTACTACTTTCAAAACTAGTTGTATAACAATGAATTAGAAAAAAAAAGCTTTGAAATTAATGTCTGTTTTCCTGTTTAGTATATTCTGTGATTCCTGTTTAACATGCAATTTCAATATTGGACTGTGAGTTACTCTGAAAGAGTCGCTTTCAAACCTTCCACATGCACGTTCCCTCTTTCAGTGACAAATACTTGTTTTGTTCTGCTGATGCTGACACACCCTCTGTCAACCCATTTGTCTGTTAAAGCTAATACGTATAAGGACATGCTCCTGTTTAACGACAAAACATGTGTCAGGTACACTATTCAAGTGAAACTGAAGCAAGGATTTTGTGTGCCATGGTAATGTGATCACCATGACAAACATTTCTTCATTTATAGAAAATATATTTTATTTAGTTTTATTTGCACAAATAATCCTGCTGAGGGTTAAATAATAACAATAATATTAAATAATATATTAAGTATATGACTAGTATTAAAGTATACGCATTAGTATTATTCACAGAAATGCACCATTATTTAAAGTTTTCCAAATAAATCACTCAAGCCTGAAAGACACTTCACTCAAGGATAAACTAGTGTTGTGTTTACACATAACAATAAACCAAATGTTTAAATTGGCACTTTGCTACTAGCTGCCCATCATAAAAACATATCATTGGTTCCCATTTCTTTCTTGAATTAGAAAAAACTAGAATATAAATATGCTGTTTGACAAGCATAAAATTGTATTTTGACACCAAGGTGATTCCCAAAACACTATTAGCTCATAAACCTAGCCTCTCATGACACAGTGTGTCACATGTCCGCAAAAAAACTGAGGAAACTGAGCAAGTGGAGGACAAAAGAAGAAGTGGCAACATGAGAAGCTTGAGAAAAACCAAGGACAACACTACCATATTCAGAACAATAGGTAGGATTTTAAATCCCAACCAAGGGCATACATCCAGTAAGGGCTCCAGTCTAGGTCCCCCCATGTTACCCAGGCCTACCTCAAAATATGATTAACAG